GGCCTGGAAGAGGGGCAACCGGGACAGAATCCGGCGCCCCAACCGGGACTAGAACCCGGTGTGCCGGCGCCGCTAGGCGGAGGATTAGCCTATTGAGCCGCGGCGCCGGCCCCTTATGGCTTCTGCTTTAGGAGAGACCTGCTAGACCCTGGGGAGGCAGAGGGTTCCCAGCATCTGTGTGCTCGCGGTAGATGCCACTGTGACCTCCTGCGCGGGCTGGTGAAAGGCAGCGAGCTCTGTGTGCAGCTGCTCAGTATTAACTTTGTCGTCTACAGTCACCGTCTTCCTGGCTTTCTATTTGCTCCATCTGGGCTTTATTTTCTTACTTTTCCCGCCTGCCTTTGGATCAATGAAGCAATTTTTATGATTGCATTTTGTCGCTGCTATTGAGTCATTAATTGCAACTTAATTATTATTATTTTTTTTGGTATGTGTGTGTATGTGTAATGATTACCTTGACTTTGGAATATGTGTCTAATCACAGTCAATTTCAGAAAATAGGATGCCACTTCGTGAATCCCTAGTAGGGGATCAGCAGAGAGGAGCCTGCAGGGACCTATGACCTGCTGTGGATGTGGCTTCCAGGGGTTCTGTGTTCTCTTCAGTGGCTGCTAACCAGACTTCAGCAATCTGTTGAGATTTTTAGCTGATTTCCTCTCACGTGGCTCTGTGGCACGCAGCCTCTCTTCCTTTGTGTTCTGCCTCAGCTGAGCCGGTGGACACATCTTTTCCAGCCTGGGCGAGGCAGCCCTTTTCTTAGACTGTGGGCTCCTGGTTTGTCCTGTGACCTGAGCTCTCCTGGGTTTTAAGTCCTTTTTTTTTTTTTTTTTTTAAGATTTATTTATTTATTTGAGAGTCAGAGTTACAGAGAGAGAGGGAGAGGCAGAGAGAGAGAGAGAGAGAGAGAGAGAGAGAGAGGTCTTCCATCTGCTGGTTCACTCCCCAATTGGTTGCAATGCCGGGAGCTGCGCTGATCTGAAGCCAGGAGCCAGGAGCTTCCTCCAGGTCTCCCACGTGGTGCAGGGGCCCAAAGACTTGGGCCATCTTCTGCTGCTTTCCCAGGCTACAGCAGAGAGCTGGATCGGAAGTGGAGCAGCTGGGACTCGAACTGGTGCCCGTATGGGATACCGGCACTTCAGGCGTTGGCTTTATCCACTACGCCACAGTGCCGACCCCAGCAGTTTTCCTTATCTTAAGAACAGCTGAAATCCATTGTCAATGTTCTTGAGAAATAAAAAATTAGTCTTTAATATTTTAGCACTGAGCTAAAAAAATACATAGCTAAAGACAGGCTCATTACAAAAGAACACCCAACACAGTGATAAATTCAGACTAGTTTCTCTGCTGAGATTACCTGGCCCCCATTTCCTGGCCATATTTCCCATGTACTTAACCTGCAGTTGTCTGTGCTTCCCATTGGCCATGGTGATTAGAGTCCCACAGGCTGCTGCAGTCTGCAAGCCATTGAGTTCTGGGCTAGTACAGTGCACTGCGTGCGGGCTGTGTCACACCAGGAAGGAAGGATCTGGTCTTGTGGGCTCCTCTCAGTGTGCAATCCGAGAGCACTTTTAAGACTGTCCACGGTGGGCTGGTGCCATGGCTCACTTGGCTAATCTTCCGTCTGCAGCGCTGGCATCCCATATGGGCTCCGTGTTCTAGTTCCAGTTGCTCCTCTTCCAGTCCAGCTCTCAGCTGTGGCCCGGGAGGGCAGTGGAGGATGGTCCAAGTGCTTAGGCCCCTGCACCCCCATGGGAGACCAGGAAGAAGCACCTGGCTCCTGGCTTTGGATCAGCGCAGCACTGGCCATGGTGGCCATTTGGGGAGTAACCAATGGAAGGAAGATCTTTCTCTCTGTCTATATCTCTACCTGTCAAAAAAAAAAAAAAAAAAAAAAAAAGAAAAGACTGTTCAGGGCGCCAGTTCAAGTTCCAGCTGCTCCACTTCCGATCCAGCTCTCTGCTATGGCCTGGGAAAGCTGTGAAAGTTGACCCAAGTCCTTGGGCCCCTGCACCCGCATGGGAGACCCGGAAGAAGCTCCTGGCTCCTGGCTTTGGATCAACGCAGCTTCGGCCGTTGTGGCCATCTGGGGAGTGAACCAGCGGATGGAAGACCTTGCTCTCTCTCTCTCTCTCTTTCTCTCTCTCTTTCTGTAACTCTGCCTTTCAAGTAAATAAATAAATCTTAAAAAAAAAAAAAAAAAAAAGACTGTCCGGGGATGTGTTTGCTGTCCTGCCTGCAGGTCAGAAAGAGAATCAAGGTTATAGTAGTTGTCTTTAGGATTTCACCATCAGTGAAAGAGAAAACTGTTCCCACCTGTGCACACCTCACTCATGTGCTGGGTAATGCCGTGCTGCTGGGTCATTGAGATTTGATATGCTGGCCTGAGGTCCCCTTATCCACTGTGGTCAGGGTGAAAGCTGTTCCAGGTTTTGAAATGTTTGCCTACACATCATGATCTGCCTTAGAGATGAGACCCAAAGCTAAACTCAGGATTTGTTTTATATACATCTCATACACATAATCTGAGGGTAATTTTACACAATATCCTGATAATTTTGTACATGAAACAAAGTTACATAGTATGGAATTTTCCACTTGTGGCCTCATATGTGTGATCAAACTTTCGAATTTCAGAGTATTTAATTTTATTTGCAAATGCAACCATGGAGATTTATTTTTTTGCATTCTCAAAAATGTTTTGGCCGGCGTGGCGGCTCACTTTGCTAATCCTCCACCTGCAATGCTGGCACCCCGGGTTCTAGTCCCGCTCGGGGCACTGGATTCTGTCCTGGTTGCTCCTCTTCCAGTCCAGCTCTCTGCTGTAGCCCAGGAAGGCAATGGAGGATGACCCAAGTGCTTGGGCCCTGCACCTGCATGGGAGACCAGGAAGAAGCACCTGGCTCCTGGCTTTGGATCAGCGTAGCGTGGCGGCCATAGCGGCCATTTGGGGGATGAACCAACGGGAGGAAGACCTTTTTCTCTGTCTCTCCCTCTCACTGTCTAAATCTACCTGTCAAAAAAAAAAAATAGCTTTTTTTTTTTTTTATCCCAAAGAAACCTTTTATTTAATGAGTAAAAATTTCATAATTACAACTTTAGGAATATAGTGATTCTTCCCACCATACCCATCCTCCCACCCCACCACTTCCTCCCTCTCCCATTCCCAGTCCCATTCTTTATTAAGAAGAAGAAGAAAAAAACTTCCTCAACATTCAAGACAAGGACTGCTCAAGTCATTGCTTCTCGAAGTGTCAATTTCACTTCTACAGATTGCCTTTTAGGTGCTCCATTAGTTATCACAGATCAGGGAGAAACGTGGTATTTGTCCCTTTGGGACAGGCTTATTTACAGAGTATTTTATATTAAGGATGTTCAACTGGCATCCAAAATATGAAATTAACTAGGATATGTGTCATGCGATATATCCAAACAGAATAACCTGTGAACCGAGACTCTTCTGGTCAAATTCGGACTCTCCATGATTCTATTATTTGTTGATTTCACAGACTACTGTAGGTAGGCATTTGCTTCTAGCAAAGGGTGCTAAATGCCCTAGCCATATGTGTTGCCTTCATGAAGTCCTCCTTCTAGATGGTCATGCCCTTTTGAAGAATGCACACCTGCAGAATGTCTTCAAGCTCTGCCACTTTGCTACCGTTGAGCTTAGCAGTGTCACTTCCCAGTGTTATCCATGGTTGAACCCTGCAGTTACAGACCCTTCCCTCAGTGTGGCCTTCTCTGGGGCACATCACTGGTTAAAAGTCAGCCTCCCCTGCAGAACCTGGCTCCCTGTGGACACGGCACGGGTGTCATCCACCTTTTCAGTAGCTGATACTTTGTGCAGAGCTCAGAGTCAGGGTGGGCACTCAGTGAGTACTGTTCAGCCGAACTGTGTTCTTGCTGAGCTGTTTTGATACCTCTGCTAAGAGTGCTGAAAGGCATTCATGGACATTTTCCTGAGTGTAAGTGAGACCACTGCATTTTTTTTTTTCTCATGATGAAAGACTGAATTGTTTCCATGTTCAATAACGAAGTGTAAATCTTCTAAAAAGGAGCTAGTGATATTTTAAATATTAAAATGAGTGAGAGAACTGTGACTAGCAAATGCCATGATGTAAATATAAAATAGGGGATTTGGGTTTTTTAAAAAAATGTTTTTTAAAGATTTTATTTTCTTATTTGAGAGGCAGAGTAACAGAGAGAGAGAGAGACAGAGAGAAAGGTCTTCCATCCACTGGTTCACTCCCCAGATGGCTGCAATGACCTGAGCTGGGCTGATCCAAAGCCAGGAGCCAGGAGCTTTGTCCGGGCCTCCCACATCAGTGCAGGGACCTAAGGCCTTGGGCCATCTTCCACTGCTTTCTCAGGCCAGGAACAGAGAACTAGATTGGAAGAGGGGCAGCTGGGACACGAACTAGCGCCCATATGGGATGCTGGTGCTGCCACAGCGCCAGCCCCTAAAATTTTTTAAAATTAATATGAAGAGAGGTTTCATGCATTCCATAGATAAAGTTTCAAGAAGACACCCACACTTCCCTCACTCCCCCCATCTAATCCCGTATCCTCTCTCCCCTTTCTTCATCAGCTGGGATTTGAGTTTTATAAACCAATGTATTTAAAGTTCTGATACAGCAATCCCCAGCCATAGGTTCAGGCATTTTTATCAGTGGGTTTGGGAAGATAGCAAGTGAGCAAAGGAAATTGAGTATTACACTTATCTGACACCTGGAACCCTTGAAGAGGTTCGGAATTCTTCGAATGATTGCATTGTTCCTTTTTACTGTTCATTTTATTTTGTTTTGTTCGTAGAGGTCTAGGAATGATTATTTTATAACAAAATCATTAGCTGCTTCAATGGTGTGTGAGGTTTTTTTTTTTGGCTCTTCTTCTTCTTTGATTTTCTACTTGTGGTTGATTATAAATTAAAAGGCTTAGCTTTATTTAAAATCGTGTTTTAGCTTATTAACTCTTGTGTGTGTCTGCTTTTCTTTCTAAAACAGTGTAGCGACTATGACCTGGAATTTGGAACAGAGTGTTTGCAACTGGCTCTAAAGTACAGTGACACTAAAGCCAAACTTGTGGAGGGATCACCTGACCTATGGAAGGTAAGAGGAGTGGTACTGGCACTGGCCCCTTAGTGTTTCATGGTGGTAGAGAAATCACAGGAAGACGAGGAGCCTCCCTGCGCTTAGGAAGCCGTTAAGGAGTCGCTTGGCATGAAGACAACGCAGCTTGAGATAATTCTGTTTTATTCACTTTTCCTCTTTTCCTTGCCTGCTCTGTCCCGTCCACTCAGTTGAGTGGAAGCTACTTCTGCGCGTCCCATGAGAGCCACATTTCCTTCCAAGGCCTGAAGTGGTTGCCCCAGCTTCCCTGGGCTGGGAGAGTGTCTGCCCAGTTCTGATCCAGTGGCTGACCTGCTCTCTGTCCCCCAGGAGGAAGTGAACCCTTTCTTGTGGCAAGGGTAAGGCTCAGTTCTTCTGCCCATATAGGATTGCAGGCTTGGCTTTACCCTCTTGCCACCACTCCGGCCCCTCTTTCGCATTTTCACACATTTCTTTCTTTCCTCCTTCCTCTCCCTCCTCTCCCCACCCCGCCCCGCCCTGCCCCTCCCCTCCCCTCTCCTCCCCTCCCCTTCTTTTCCCTTTTTTCCTGCTGAAATGCACATATTTTACTTCTGTCTCTCACCAAAAAATGTTAGTCCTCAGATATATCTTACTCTTTGCTCCCTTTTCTGTGCGACAAATGTCAGCGCATTGAGATGTGGTTGGCCTTTCCACAGTGCCTCTCTTTGCCCCATGATGAGTCTCGTGACACCTGCTCTGTGGGTGGGTGGGCTTGTGCCCTTCTAAAGGGATGTGCAAGTCCCAGCTCCTGGCACCTATGGATATGCCCTTATTTGGTTTGCAGAAGTAGTGAAGTTAAAATGAGGTTGTCCTGGAGTCAGGGGGCAGCTAAACCCATATAAGACCAGGAGAGGAGACACAGATCCAGAGAGATGGCTGTGTGAGGACAGAGGCCAGGGCCAGGCTGACGCATCTGCGAGCCTTGGGACAGCACGCATTGGCAGTGACCATGGAAGCTGGGAAGAAACCAGGAAGGAACGTTTCCCACAGCCCCTGTCGAGGGAATGTGGTCCTGCCCGTGCATTGGTTTCAGACTGCCAGGCTCCAGAGCTGTGAGAGAGCACATCTCATTGTTGGAAGCCACCGGGTTTGTCACACTGGGTCTCCCGCGCCCTAGGAAACACCTGCCAAGGGAGTGACACTCCTCTAGGCTACCGGGGACTGGCATCTCATGAATAAGGGAGCTTCTGATGAATGAGCTTTGAAGACCGAGGTGCTTCACAGGCAGCCTGGACTCTCAGAGGCCTTCAGTTGGACAAAATGTCTTAACAAATAGCAGTTACTGGGTGTTTTTTTTTTTTCTTTCATTTTTTAGATACTACATTTTTTCTGTTGAGTGGGAGTGAAATCATTTGGCTGCAAACATCTTTTCAGTATTTTCTTATCTGTTTAGCCCTTACTTAGTTCCTTTGATGGCACTCTATAGGCTTTCATTTCTTAATTTTGTGGTCTTATTTGGTGTGAATAGAGAGCATTTTAATTGTTTCTGAGGCCACAAAAAATGGAATCTATACTTTGAAATTAGTGTCTTAATTCTGTACTAACTCCAAAACTTGCTGTCATTTGAAAAATAATTTGGGGGCGGCACTGTGGCACAGCAGGAAAAGCCGCTGGCTGTGACACCAGCATCCCCTATGAGGGCTGCTCCACTTCCAATCCAGCTGCTAATGCACCTGGGAAAGCAGTAAAAGATGGCCCAAGTCCTTGGACCCCTGCACCCACATGGGAGACCCAGAAGAAGCTCCTGGCTCCTGGGTTCAGTCTGGCCCAGCCCTGCCTGTGGCAGCCATCTGGAGAGTGAACCAGTGAGTGGAAGGTCTCTTTTTCTCTCTTTGTGTAACTTTGCTTTTCAAATGAATAAAAAAAAAAAATCCTTAAAAAATTGGGATCTGAAAAAAAGCCTTAGTACTACTGTGTGGCGCCTGGTTTTGGACCTAGGTGTCAGGGCCGTGTACCTAGAGCATGATCCGGAAGTCTACAGCGAGTGGCACATTGGACATGAGAGAGAAGCGTTTTGCCGAGATGTGGAGGGGTCTGCCTCTCTTGTGTGATGGAAGTCAGGGTGCTCACACTGTCATGGTATGAAGAGTGACTGGACATCTTGGCTGACTGCAGGAAGGGTTTTCATTTCAGCTGCCACTCGATATTCCAGGAAGACAGCTCTTTTGCGTTTTGCGTATGTATTTTGATGAGAGTGAATGTACAGAAGAAGCATCCAGGGTCAATGGCAGCTTTCCTCTGCTGGCTCCTCTGGGGTCTGCAGAACTCATCAGGTCAGGTTTTTCCAATCGCCATGCAGGGTAGAGTCCACTGTCTGTCCCCCTGGAATGACCACAGCACCCCACTCTCCTCCGTAAAACAGTGAACCCCACCAAAGGGGTCGGGCTGGCTCCTGCACTAGGACCCACCCTCCCGCTTCCCTTGCGTGCCGGCGCCTGGGCAGGCTCTGCAGACATTCCCGCCAGCCAAGATTTCCTCTAGTCTGTGCAACACTCTCAGTCCTTTGGAGCTGTGCTTGTCCCTTATTTTTGGCTTTGGATCTGCGCGGTGCGCCAGCCACAGCAGCCACTGGGGGGTGAACCAACGGAAAAAGGAAGACCTTTCTCTCTTTCTCTCTCTCTCACTGTCCACTCTGCCTGTCAGGAAAAAAAAAAAAAAAAAGGGCTTTGTGTAGAGTCTGTGTCATCACAGCGTTACTGGGGGCAGTGACTTTTGAGGATTCCTTTTGAAGGGAACTACATTTTTGTTTTAGATCCAAGTGTTCTAGGATCTTTGTTTAAAAATAAAAGAAGCAAAATAGTTTTGTTGTTTGTTTGTTTTTTTAACCTCAAGGATACAATGTGGTGACATTGCTTCTTTTCTAGAGGTTTTCATATAGTTATCCATGCTGAAGAAGAGAATTTTCTAGATGTACATAATTGAAGAAATGGAAGTAAACCGTCAAAAATATTTATCGCTAAAACATGCTGTATTTGTAAAATGTAAATTTTGCTGACTTTTTCCTCTAATTATTGGAGTCACACATTCATTTTCCTGTGAAGGAAAGGTTAAAAACACTGAGTCATCCTTAACTTAAGGAAGATGGTGGCCCACTGGACTTGGCTCTGTTCCTTTTTTTTTTCTTTTAATATTTATTTAATTGTTTGAAAGGCAGAGTAACAGAGAAGGGGAGAAAGGGAGGGAGATGGGAGATAGGAAAGGATGGAGAGAGAGAGAGAAAGAGCGAATCGCTCATCTGCTGCTTTACTTCCCAGAAGGCTATGATGGCCGGGTCTGGGTCAGGCTGAAGCCAGGAGCAAGGAACTCCATCCAGGTCTCCTACATAGGTGGCAAGGGCCCCAGTACTTGGGCTATCCTCCACTGCTTTCCCAGGAGCATTAGCGGGGAGCTAGACTGGAAATAGAAGATGGAACTCGAACTTGCCCTCAGATATGGGATTCCGGCGTTGCAAGTGGTAGCTTAACCAATGTTCCATGGTGTCTGTGGCCCCCTCAGCTCTGTTCTGAAATGTCTATTTTAATATTTAGTGTCTCAGTCTGGAAAGAGCAGTAAATGCTTGTGTCATGATCCTAGCCCAAATGCACCTTGCGGTAGCTGGGTGAATCCTAGCCTAGCAATTCGAAGACAGTTAGGTCTGCAGTTCTAAGTTTCAGGGGTTCTTCCCTACTGAGTTATATAATAATAATAATAATAATAATTTAAAGATTTATTTATTTACTTGAAAGTCAGAGTTACACAGAGAGAGAAGGAGAGGCAGAGAGAGAGAGAGAGTCTTCCTTCTGCTGGTTCACTCCCCAAATGGCTGCAACAGCTGGAGCTGTGCTGATCCAGAGCCAGGATCCAGGAGCTTCTTCCTGGTCTCCCATGTGGGTGCAGGGGCCCAAGCACTTGGGCCATCTTCCACTGCTTTCCCAGGCCATAGCAGAGAGTGGGATCGGAAGTGGAGTGGCTGGGACTCGAACTGGCGCCCATATAGGATGCTGGCACTGCAGGCAATGGCTTTATACCTATATATACACACACACACACACACACACACACACACACATATACACACTTATATTTATATAACATATATATTTATATAATATATATTTATTTAAGCAAGCATTACTCAGATGAAATATTCCACAGAAATACAATCAAACAAAATAGACCAAAATAGAGCTGAAGTAGGTGAGTGGCCGACATCTGGCCACAGTCGCACCTGCACAGCGCACCTGTACTGTTCTCCATTGAGCAGTTAGCAAACAAGTACATGAACAGGTTGCAGTTCTTTTCCAGTACTACAGGGCTGATTGCTTTTGTTAGGTAATTATTTTCCATAATAGAGTATTGTGCAAGGTCAAAGAAAACCACCACGCTGATGGGAGAAAATCCACTTCAAAGCTGATTGCCGTTGTGCCTATAAAAGCAGAGTGAGTAAAGGGCAACCCGTCTTACCGTAAAAGCTGGGAGAATGAGTAACGTAGCAATTCAGAATTGCAACATTTCTCAGTAATAGGCCCTTTGAAATGCGTTAGCTCCATTTTAGAGAAAAATTAAGGCTATTCTTAAAAAGAATTCTTTGAAAGTTTGCAGCTTATTTTCATTAAATTAATATGTATTAAGAGGTACAGTTGAGGCATTGTCAAGGCTTTATGAAGACGTTGTTAGTAAAAGCCACAAAAGGCTGTATATCCAGAGGCTATACTAGGACCAAATTGACAGAGGAAAGGGTGTTTGAGAGTCCCTCATGTCTACACAGTTAATTACAGAATATTACAGGAGAAACAAAAAACTTTAGGTGATTAAAAAATGTGTTTTATTGATAAGACTGATTCCAATGCAAAAATTAGTTCTTGCAAGTATTCTAGAAAAGTCATTTTAGTATTTCAGAATAATTTTCTCTATGAAAATATGACAGTTTTCCAATCATTCCAGTTATAATCCACTTTTCTTTAAAAGATTTATTTTATTGATTTGAAAGACAGAGTGATAGAAGGAGAGTCAGAGAGAGAGAAAGAGAGAGAGAGAGAAGTCCTATCTACTGGTTCACTCTCTAGATGGCTGTAACAGTTGAGTCTGGGCCAGGCTGAAGTTGGGAGCCAGGAACGCCAGCCCAGTCTCCCACTTGGGTAGCATCATGAGGCCATCAGCTGTTGCTTTCTTAGGTGCAGTAGGAAGAAGCTGGATTGGAAGTGGAGCAGCTGGAACTCAAACGGCAGTCTGATATAGGATGCCAGTGTTACAAGTGGCCGCTGAACTCACTGAGCCACCTAAAATGTAGTTTTACACCTCAAAGAAGGCAAGGGCGAATGTAAATTGAATTACGATAATTAGTATCTTCCCCTTAATTTCCAGTCTCAATTTATCCTGCATTAGCAATTACTGTAGAAAATGTTTCTCATTTAAATGGCAGCTAGTAATGAGGCCTGATTTCATGTAATTAGTTAACTTCAGATTTTCAAGACAAATTAAACCAATTTTCTTCAACTTTATACCCTTTCTCGAGGGGTCTTTGTTTACACATTTCATTCCTGTATTACCAACACTTAGAGCAGAGCCTAGGACATAGTATTTGATAAATATTTTTGCATCAAATGAATAAATCAATAAAATTTGGTGAAATGCATGACGTAGACATTGAATGTCTGTTTTTATTTATTTTTTTCCAGATACAGGTTGGGTATCTTGTATCCCAAATGTGTGGTACTAGGAATGTTTCAGATTTCAGAGTTTTTGAGATTTTGGAATATTTGTGTGGCCTTCATGTGTCTAGCATCTGTAATCCAAAAATTCAAAATCTTAAATGCCCCCAAATCTGAAATTTACTGAGTATTACTTAAATGCTCAAAAAGCTCCAGGTTTTGGATTTTCAGATAGGGGATGCCCAACATGTAGTAGAATTACATCGTTAATCAAGAGTTTTCCTCCTGAGAGTCAATAGTTTTGGTTGGCATGTGTTTGTTTTACAGAAAACATGTGGTGTCACATTTGATTTTAATAGAACGGTTGAATACTCAAGCAACTTCCTCTGTGTCTTACCCCATTAGCTGCTGTTTTATTTCCAGAGGGTAAGGTATAGTTGTCCACGATTTACTTGGTAGGAGGAAAGGATAGCAGGAGGTTCTAAGTGCACTGGCCCACTTGAGCTGAATGAAGTTTCTGCACAGATCCAGTTATGAGCTAATCTGGAAGAAGAATGCCCAAGTTTGTTATTAATTTGGTGGATATTTATCAAAGTGGGTTTTTAGACCATTTGCATCGTAAGCATCTGGGTACTTGACATAGGGGCTTCTAAGAACTAACTCCTTATTAATACTGGTTGTTATGTTCTCCATCTCTCAGTTCTGTGATGCAGGAGGGCTGATTCTGCAAAGCAGTGCACTTACACGTTGTCCAGCTGGGCTCTCTGGGTGGGTCTGGGGAGTGTCTGTCAATAGGGAAGGTTGCATGGCAAGGAGCAGGGGCAGTTACAAGGAAGCTGTGTGCAAGGATAGATCCCCACTGCTCTTAGGCACGTGGCTGGACCCGATATGCACTTTATGTCGGAGCCACATTTTAAGAAAAATCTTAAAAGGCGAACCTTGTCTGTGTACATAAAGGTATACTCAATTGAGAAAGAAGTCCTCTTTAAAGTGAATTGATCTTTGTGAATTATCACATTTCAACTAGGAGTGCAGCTTGGAGATTTTTGGAATGCACAGACTTCGTCCCCCCAGCCCTTCCTTTCTTGCATAAACCTTACTGTTAAACAGTAATGCCAACACTTCTATTTATATACAATCACATTTCCTTTTACTGTAATACTTCAGTTATGTTCATAAGATTTCAGCCACCAGTGCTTCACAGTCTTTGAAGATTAGAAAACACATCTTCAACCATTTGTAGAACTAGCATGTGTTTTCATGTGTTTGCTGATGCTGTTCTAATTTGGAGTGTGTCCGTATTGTCTCTATAGCTTCTGTACACTTGAGAAGTTTCGTTGGGGGCACACTGCTTCCTACTTGGGTTAAAGTCTAATGAGGCTTGTCTTCTCCTTCAGGTGACCTACAAACGAGATCTGTCCGCTGCAGAGTCGATTATTAAGGGTAAGTTTGGCCTCATGACCGTTAAGTTCCTGTGTTTCAAAACCATAAGCCAGCTCAGAATTTCTGATGACAGCTTAAATCCCTGCAGTCTTAGAAGGATCAATGTCTGTGGGCCTTTGATATCTATCTCTTGTTTGTGTTTTGAAAGTATTTTAAAAAGGGGGGGGGGGAGGAGCAGGTTAACGCCCTGGCTTGAAGCGCCGGCATCCCATATGGGTGCCAGTTTGAGACCTGGCTGCTCCACTTCTGATCCAGCTCTCTGCTATGGCCTGGGAAAGCAGTACAAGATGTCCCAAGTCCTTAGGTTCTTGCACCTGCATGGGAGACCCAGAAGAAGTTCCTGGCTCCTGGCTTTGGATAGGTGCAGCTCTGGCCGTTGTGTCCAACTTAGGAGTGAACCATTGGATGGAAGACCTTTCTCTCTCTCTCTGCCTCTCCTCTCTCTGTGTAACTCTTACTTTCAAATAAATAAATAAATCTTAAAAAAAAAGAAAAAAATTAGGGGCTGATGCCATGGCAAAGCTGGTGAAGCTGCCTCCTGTTGCTGTGGATTCATTCTCAGAGGAGGAGCATGGTGGGGCAAGAGGTGTGGAGTCACCACACACACCACTCAGACCAGGAGTTGGGTGAAAGCGGGCCAGAGGCAAGCAGCCTGCAGACTCGTTTATTTCAGTTGGTACAGCGGTTTAAATAGCCAAGGCAGCCAATCTGGTCAAGGGGCAGTTTATGCCCTAATCAATCACAGCCTGTTGCCAGGCAGTATCCGAAGCCATCCAGTCACAGCCTTTTGCCAGGCAGGCTCCATTGTCAGGTGGGTTTCAAAGCCATTCCTGAGTAACTGACGCTCGCTTGCCAGTGGCCATCTTGGCATGGCCTTCTCATTCCAGCACAGCCTCCTGTGCGCCCGCATCCCATATGGGCATCAGTTTGAGTCCTGGCTGCCCCACTTCCTATCCAACTCTCTGCTTATGGCCTGGGAAAGCAGTGGAAGATGGCCCAAGTGCTTGGGCCTTTGCACCTGTGTGGGAGACCTGGAAGAAGCTCCAGACTCCTGGCTTCGGATTGGCCCAACTCTGGCCATTGTGGCAATTTGAGGAATGAACTAGTGAATGAAAGACCTCTCTCTCTCTCTGCCTCTGTCTTTCTGTAACTCTGTAAAAGAGAGCAACAGACAGAGAGAGAGATAGAGAGAATCTTCCATCTCCTGGTTCACTCCCCAAATGGCCACACTCCAGGAGCCAGGAGTTTCCTTGGGGTCTCCCACGTGGGTGCAGGAGCCCAAGGCCTTGGGCCATTTTCTGCTGCTTTCCCAGGCCATAGCAGAGAGCTGGATTGGAAATGGAGCAGCCAGGACTTGAACCAGTGCCCCTATGGGATGCTGGCACTGCCACAGCTCTGGCCTGGTTTTACTTTTCACAAAGGAAATACTTCATTCATTTGATAGAAGTCTGTTATGTTGAGACTGTGTTAGAAGTGAAACAGTAATAATAGTCACAGTGATATATTAACAACTGTTAAAAACTCATTCATTTATTTATTTGAGAGGCGAAGAAAGGCAGAGAGAGAGAGAGAGAGAGAGAGAGAGAGAGAGAGAGTTCCTGTCTTCTGATTTACTCTCCAAATGCTTGCAACAGCTAGGGCTGTGTTTGGACAGCTTCAGGAGCCAGAAGCTCAATGCAGGCCTCCCACCCAATTACTTGAACCATCACTGCTGTCTTCCAGGGTTATCGTTAGGAGGAATTTGGAGTCAGCTGCCAGAGCTGAACACTGTTACTCCAGGATGGGCTATGGGGGTAATACATGCTACATATTAATAATGATACATATTGTAAAGGTATTTCATTATTCTTAAAAGTTTATTTTATTTGAGAGAGATAGAGAGAGAGGGGGAGAGAGAGAAAGAGAGAGAAGGAGAGAGAGAGAGAGAGGGAGGGAGGGAGGGAGGGGAAGACAGATGGATATCTGTCATCCATTGATTCACTCCCCAAATGCCCACAACATCTGGAGCCAGTCCAGGCCAAATCTGAGAGCCATGAACTCAGTCTGGGTCTCCCTTGGTGGTGGAAGGGACCCAAGTACTGGAGCCATCACCTGTTGCCTCAGTAGGTGCACACTAGCAGGAATCACCCAGGGGATCTGGAATCACATATTGGAGCTGAGACTCAAACCCATCACCAGGGGATGTGGTATCTTCACCATTTATATTGAACTCTGGCCTCAAGCCATTTCCTTTCTATTCTTGAGAGGACTTAATGCTGTCCCATCAGTACATAGGACAGCATCTTCCCCTGGAGGGACATTGCTTTCTCAAGGTAGCGCCATTGGACTGGATAATTTTGAAATTCCGATTTTGGTCTGGCAATGGTTGCAATTTTGTTGCATAGTTTTAGATGTGACACGTGTAATAAGTCCTTTGTTGTCCCTTCTTCACATTCGTAACTCTAACATTCCAGCTGCACAGAGGCAGGTCATTTTGTATTCCACAAGTATTACTGTGCTTAGCAATGCTGAGAATGTAGCCAAGATGCGCCAGGGACCAACAGGCTGGATTCTTGCAGCCTATGTCCTTTGCATGGCGCTTCCGAGCCTGGGCACTGTCATGGTGTGTTTCATGCCAGGCGACCCTTTTTTTGTTGGAGCTGTTGGGTGCATCGCTGGCTGTTCAGCCCATGCTGGGCCTCTGCACACCAGGTACAGTGCACCCTTCACTGTTTCCCTCCCTTAGTTGTGACAAAGATCCATCCTCCATCCTCACCCCACAATGATGGCCTAGTGTCCCCCAGGGGACAAAGTTACCCCAAAGTGAGAACCACTTTTTCAAAATATGTAGACCCCATAAGACCTGGGGTGTTCACCCCAGTTCTGAGGCAAATGTAGTGCTTTACAATGTGTCTGTAATGGACTTGTTCGAAAACATTATGGCTATGCTCAAGGTTTCGATTGAGAGGTGAACTTCTGGGGCTGACATTGTGGCATAGGGGGTAAAACCATTGCTTGTGGCAACAGCATCCCATAAGGGCACCAGTTCATGTCCTGGCTGCTTCACTTCCAATCCAACTCCCTGCTAATGGCCTGGGAAAGTATCAGAAGATGGCCCAAATGCTTGGATGCTCTGCCACCCACGCAGGAGGCCCAAATTAAGTTCCTGATTCCTGGCTTCAACCTAAAACAGCAAACAGTCTGTCTCTCCCCCTCTCTCTGTAACTTTGACTTTAGAATAAATAAATAAATCTTTTTTTTTTTTTATAAAAAGAAGAGAGGTGAACTTTCAAACTCAAACTTTTACTGAAGTAGAAAAGAACCACTTAACTGTGACTGCATTGGCTCATGTAAAATTTTGTGAACATCTATGTGATAACAAATTGGCTGCACGTTCAGAAGATGGAAATCTCTCCTCTGATCATAATGCTACATGTGCATTTTGCTCTCAAACTCCTTGTCTTACAAGGTATTGTGTTCCAAATCATTAACGTACTGTAATTTGTGCACCTGTGTATATAAACCAAGCATCTATAGCTGTAAATCAAAATGTTGACATATATTTACGTATCCACCAGGTGACGTGTAAATATTACTCTGTAGGCAATGGCTAAACCATGATGTGCTTTCTGTTAGTTTCTCAACACAAGGAAACACAGAACTCAATTTGTTTTTTTTAACAGGGTCATAGCTGTGTGACCAAGGTATAGTGGAAGCAATCTTTTCTGTGAATGGTTAATCAGGGGTTCAACTGAGGGGTCTACAAACTTCAGTACTTTTGCACCTACACATGATCAGAACAGACTTCTTTAAAACAGAAACACCTATGTTTTACAGTTTAAATTTGCTGGAAGGAGATCTGATTTAAGAAATAATTTTTCTTATGTAGGGGGCAGGTTCTAGTGCAGTACTTTTATATTAAGGTTATTTTAGAAGCGTTCTGTTCTCAGGGAAGATCATCTGACTGGCAGGGTGTAAACAGGTGATGCAGGTCAACAAACTCCAGGAGTTTGCTCACCCCCGAAGGCCTGGGGAGTGTCCAGCCCACGAGCTATAGAAGGCCCGAGAAGGCCTTTGCTCTGTCCCCACCAAGGCAACCTCACAGGCAAGACTCGGAATTCAATACATCTACAGCAGGCTAAGTTTTAAGTTGATGGTACTTTGTATGGCTTGCAAATGATGTTATAAATGTCCAAATGGCTCTTGGCAGAAAAAAAAAAAAAAAAACCCTACCCTGCTGCTGGATTCGTGTTTCTGTGACTTCCCTGGAGGTTCCCTGTTGCTCCGGGGCCCTCCATCCTCTCAGGGAGCACCCTAGCTCCAGCAGCATTGTGACCATTGAGCACTTGAAGGTGGACTCGCCAGCCCTGCCCCAATTCATCAGATCCGCATTTTAACCAGTCACTAATTAGTTTATACAATAAATAATTTTTAAAGATTTTTATTTATTTATTTATTTGAGAGGTATAGTTGTAGACACAGAGAGGGAGAAACAGAGAGAGAGGTCTCCCATCCACTAATTTGCTCCTCAAATGGCTGCAACTGCCAGAGCTGAGCTGATCTGAAACCAGGAGCCAGGAGCTTCTTCCAGGTCTCCCATACAGGCGCAGGGGCCCAAGCACTTGGGTCATCTTCTGCTGCTTTCCCAGGCTATAGCAGAGAGCTGGATTGGAAGTGAAGCAGCTTGGACATATAGGATGCTGGTGCCCATATGGGATGCCGGAGCTGCAGGCAGAGTCTTGGCCCACTGCACCACAGCGCCGGCCCCCAGACTGTAAATTCTACAAGCATTTCTCTGGGCTGCCTCTCATGGTCACTTGGTCCTAAATGACATTGCATGGGTTTTCTCCTCCTCCTCCTCCTCCTCCTCCTCCTCCCCCTCCCCCTCCTCCTCCTCCTCCCCCTCCCCCTCCCCCTCCCCCCTTCTCCTTCTTTCTTCTTTCTTCTTCAAAATTTATTTGACAGGTAGAGTTATAGACAGTGAGAGAGACAGAGAGAAAGGTCTTCCTTCTGTTGGTTCA